AGTACGGACTTTCCACCATCTCGTCCATTGCGCTCTTCACTCCCTGCCCTCCATCTGAATTTCGCGCGTCATCATTATCACGTGACTGAAACCCAGCTATGTCAGAATGTTTATTTTTAAACCACAACTTAAATGTGTGCTTCTTTTACAGATATATTTAACGATATCTTTTTGAAAAGTTTGAAATCCATGGGACTAACGGTTCGAGAGATATTCGATTAACAGACAGACAGACAGACAGACACACAGACAGACAGAAAGACGTTCCTGTAATTAGATAGATAGATAGATGTTCTTTGCACTAAGAAAAAAAAAACGTTCTTTTAAGAATGGTTCACTGCAATGTTCTTTGTGGAACCCAAAATTGTTCTTCTATGGCATCACTGTGGAAAAAAAATCCTCTTGGAACCTTTAGTTTTAAGAGTATGTTTATGTATCAGTAATCAAATCTTTAAATAAAACAACTGTGTGTGTGTTGTGTTTGCTTGATATAACACGAGACAAAGAGGTCACATATGGTACGTTTGGTTGATAAATGGCTTTATTTGGCTTTAGGGGGACATCACTGTATCAGTTAGCAGCCATACAGTTAAAGTGTCAGCACTCCTGAACCATCTCTGAAACAGTGTCGTCGAGATGCACAAAACGTGCGGACTCTTTTAAGCAGTTTAGATTCATGATTAAGGCATTTACGTACATTTTTACACACATCAAGCAAATCTATCCCACCCCCTCATATTGTCAAGCTCCAAGTGAATCAAGCCATGCAAATTGAAACTCCTCTTGATTGATTCATTTCATGAATAATTGCGACAACTGTTTTATTACATTTATTGGAAATCTTGCTCTTGGCTCTTCCCTCTTCTACCCTTTTGAATTATAATATAATCCAGACCTACTATTTGGATTATTTTTACAACCCAAAGGTTGCTGCAAAAATGAGCCCGAACAGTAAACTCACTTTAACATCACTGTCACCACACTGTAAGAAAACAAGTCAGTTGAAAAATGGAAAATGCACTGTAATTTTCAGCCAGGACATTATTCATTGAGTGCCGTATTCATTTCATGTAGCTCTAAAACAATACGTTACGCGTAATTCAAAATACGACCAAAACACTTTATAGACTTTTCTTAGAAACCAATGACTCATTTATACAATTTAACATTTAAGGACTCTTTGGAATGGTATTTTTCCGGAAGTGTGATCCAGTCTCATCGGGCAAGTCTTATTTAACAAACAACACATCCCAGACAGCAACATAGTGTCGGCCCAGATCCGGGCCACATCCGGTATATGGATTCCACGCCTACCAGATGTGGGCCGTATCTGGGCAACATTATGTAGCTGTCTTTTCAATCGCCATATATTTATTGATCAAACTGCATAAAAAATCAAGACCATTGATGGAAATAGTTAAAATCAAGGATAATGCGGGTGCATCTCCAGTCAGTCTTTGTCAAAGGGACACATTGAATCAAATACCCAATTTTGCTAAACACTACCAAAACAAACACTACTACTACAACAGTATTCTGTGGGCAGACATTTAACTCTTTATTTGCACAAAGGTTTATGCACAAAACACCCATTTAAGACGCATTAACCAAAAGATTTTTCAAATGTGAAAGGAAGAAGCCAAAATACTGGATTCATTAGTTATCTTTCCATCCATGATGTTGAATTTGTAAAGATTTAGCAAAGTATTGAGTGCTGTTTGTTTCATAAGGTTATTTATTGTGACAAATGAAGATCAGATCGCATTTTAGAAACAATCCCGATGCTTTCTCACAGCTGTAAATAAATCTAAATTGATAAAATGAGACACCAACCCATAATGTCACAGAATCTGCGTCCTGTAATCATCGATCAACCAGGCCTGCATTGTGAAGGGTCATTGGAGGTGGTTGATATAGCTGTCTGAATGGGTTCTTGTAGTGCTGTTTATCTGGAGTACTAATGTGACGGTTAATAGCTCTTCACTATGACTGTCTGTGACCCCTCTGCCCTCTCTATAGCCAGCCTGTCTTCTGCAGGGTGAGAAGCGAACTGGACCCGTCATGTTTACACTGCTTCCTGAAGCCTGAAAGCTCTTACGCAAAAACAAATCAACCCCACAACAAATATACACAAACATATAATAATACAACGGCTGAGTGGCAGCAAATTTGACATCTTTCTTACCTAATCAATCTCTCTTTATTTTTTCCCCCTTTTGGAAAGTTGTGGAAACTCTATCACAGATCGTTTATTTTGCTATTAGAGCAAATGGAAATACAAAAATTATATTTTTTTGTCACCTCCCCTAGAAGTTTACCCAACTATCCGACTTCTGAGAACCCTGGAAATATGAAAAGGCTCCATTAATTAACTGAAATAAAATAATTGTATTACAAAATTTTTACTGTAATAGAGAAGTATTTTTACTGTCACACAGTAAAAATAATCAGAATAATAAGAGTAATGAGAAATAAAACAAGTAAAACGTACAGACGCATTATATGGTAATGAGAACCCAACTAACAAATACATGTTCTAAGAACATTTTACTAACGTTCCCATTAAGTTATGAAAACATTATTTAAAGTTCTCTTAAGACGACCATCTAGCTAAACTGTTTCAGAAAAAAGTTTCATGAACAATGTATAAATAATGTTTTTGGCTAACATTTTGAGAACATTATTAAAGACCAGATAACTCTGACCAAACCTTCTACTAACGTTCCTGAAAGATTGTTTGCTCGTTCTTTCCTTGCCAGAGCTTTAGCCAAAGTTCTGAGAACATTCCCTGTTAGCTGGGCATTGGGAGGGGGCGCAACTAATCTTAATTGTCCTCAAAGTCGTCATCATTTTCATTATGCTATTTTTTTTTCTTTTGATTTCAGGGGAGACCTGGACATTTGTTCATGAAATTCACCTATTTGTGAGCAGAAACACTAAAAGAAAGAGCTAAAGACAGGAACCTCATCTAGTTTCAGAAGGAAGACATGCCACAGATTAGAAAGAGAAAGTGGAAGAAAGACATCGAGAAAGAGAAAATAAGACAGAGGAAGATTTACTTCAGAAACAGTGAGATCTGCTCCATCACGAATGAATCAATCAAGAGGAGGTCATTTTTGAACACAATAAGGAATAGAGGGATATTTAGCAGCAGTCGTCGTCTAAAGCGTCAGAATCTAAATTGCAGAAGGATTTTCCCACACTACAGTTGCACTCCTCTCTCCAAAATCTAAACATTGAAACCCTCCCCAAGAAATCCATAAATATTTGATCTTTAATCCCACCAAACTTGATGAACTCCATGCCGCCACGTTTGCCGTGCTGTGACCATTGCAATTGAGGAAACCATGAAGGGATGGCCGGATGCATTCATTAAAGTTAAAAAATGATGCATGCTTTGCATGAAAAGGTGAATGAACATTCTTTACCCTACGAGTGAACTTAATGAAATGAGCTTGGACAATTTCGTTCATGTGGGTATAGATGCCCTAATATCGCTGGGAAATATAGGAGATGTGGCCTGTTCCTGTGCTTGGCTCGTGACATACATTCAGGACTCGAGTGAAGCTCTATATAATGGATATGCTGTTGCTCTGTGAATAATTACCTCTTCCAAAGTCCAAACTCACTTATTTTTTAAATTAAATAGCACCGAGAGGTTGGAACCAGTTCATTTTGCCTTGCATGGCATCACCTTCCTTTGTGCTGTCCTGCACTACTAATGGCACGTGAACACCAGGTGTGAATGGGGTCTTGCTGTCTGATCTTCACTTAAGTTGCCGTCTTGACACGAAAATGAACATTTTGTCATCATTTAATCTTTCCGTATTATTGTCTTTAGGGCGACACAAAGAATAGCTTAGACCAGGGGTGTCCAATCCTGCTCCTGGAGGGCCATTGTCCTGCAGAGTTCAGCTCCAACCTAAATTAAACACACCTGAACCAAGCTAACCAAGGTCTTACTAAGCACACTAGAAACTTCCAGGCAGGTGTGTTGAAGTAAGTTGGAGCTAAACTCTCCAGGACTGAGTTTGGACACCCCTGGCTTAGACTAAATGAAATGTTGTTGTAGCTTAGACTAAGGCCCTGTCCCAAATGCCACCTTAAACACTTGTGGTCTCACTACAAGTTCGCCCTTTCGTGACGTAACGCAGCTTTGGCCGCCGGGAAGTGCGCATCGAAAGACTCGCGAACACCCTTCTGAATCCTAAAATGAAAAGTGGGACACCCTACGCTACGGTCTTATGCAGCAGCCATTGTAAGTCCACAAGACATAAAGTGCACATGAAGCACTCCATTTGGGACAGGGCCTAACAGTTCCTCTTTTCCATACAAAAGAAGTGCATTTATACTGCCCAAAAAGGTACACAGAAAGGTGCCATTCACACAGAACGTGTTTTTGTATTTAAAAACGTATGATGCAGGGGGAAAAGAAATAAAGATCAAGGTCTAAAGGGGTGTTTTGTCAAATTTAAACTTCTTTTAATTTGAGCACTGCATTTTTAGGGCACTGCGTCACGCACGAGGTCCAACACGTCCATCTAGTGCATGTTTACATAAAACAATATGATGCAAAAACATATGCTGTGTGAATGGTGCCTAATAGTGGTCCATGCACTAGGCTATTACATGACCTATCCTAACACGACCTCACGATTTCAAAGTTTTAGGATTTCTGTCACATAAACCATATGACTTTTGAAGACTTGGAATACAGAATTGCATGGACAATCTTTATGGTGCTTTTTGGAGAGCTTGAAAGCATCCACTTCTGTTGTATGAAAAATGGAAACTAAGAAATGATAAGAAAATGTGTCATTTTTTGGGTGAACTACTCCATATATACTCTCTGCATAGACCTTGTTGAATCTCTTGAGTGCTATACAGAAAACATCGGTTTGAATGCTTTCGCGCAGATATCCTGATGCATCAGCAGGTGAAATCAGCCATACCTAGTGAAATGAAAGTGAAGATGAGAGGATGAGGTGTGTGTTTGTGTGTGGGGACATGGAGGGATGTGTCCAGACGGATGTGGCGGAAGCAGTGATGATACGCAGCTTTACTTGCTCTTAACCGGAGCGGCCTTTTCGCCTTTGTTACTGTCCCCCTTTTCACTCTTGCTATCTGCCTTGCTATCGCTCTTCTTCTCCTTTTCCTTCTCTTTCTCCTTTTCTTTCTCTTTCTCCTTCTCGTTCTCCTTTGGACTCTTCTTTTCTTCCTTTTCCTTCTTCTCATCCTCCTTTTCCTTCTTATCCTCCTCCTCTTCCTCCTCCTCCTCATCGCCTCCTTCTTCCTGTTCTTCTCCTTCCTCGGCCTCCTCTCCTTCCTCTGCTCCCTCCTCCTCCTCTCCTTCTTCCTTCTCCTCCTCCTCCACCTCCTCTTCCTGCTCTTCCTCTTCCTCTGTCTCAGGTTTGGCTACGCTCCTCCTGTAGGAGCTCAGGGCATAAGTGCGGCTCGATGGATAAGAGTAGGCGGACTGCAACATGGCTCCGCTCACAGAGCTCAGACGGCATTCCTCACCTTCCAGCAGCTTCCTGTTGGGAACGACCATATATGGATAAGGATGGGACATTCATAAAGGTATCAACTAATGACATTATAAGTTCTGAGTCTCACCTGTAGGCTGCGATCTCAATGTCCAGTGCCATCTTGACATTCAGCAGGTCCTGGTATTCCCGCAGGTGGCGGGACATCTCACCTTTTGTGCTCCGAAGAGCAGATTCCAGCTCCTGAATGGTGTCCTGTCACCAAAAACAAGACATTTATGTCTCCAAAAACTTCTCTCAAAGTCATGAACAAACATTCTTCCAGTAACGTTAAAAGAATGTTCGTTCAAAGGTCTTTAATAATGTTCTCTAAATGTTATTTATACATCGCTCATGGAACGTTTTTTTTCCCCTGAAATATTTTAGTTGGACGTTTGACTGTTTTAAATGTTACTAATTGTTTCAGAATGTTCAGAGAACATTAAAAGTAACGTTGCAATGATGCAATATGTTTGCAAAATTATAAAATGGAAAGTTCCCGTAACATTTATATAACCAAGATTTTTTTTTAGGACATTTTGAGTTTTCAGGGAACATTCAGTATTAATGTTTTCATAACTTGATGGGGATGATAGCAAAATGTTCTTAGCATTTATTTTTGTTAGCTGGGTATGCATTTCTTCTGGAAAAAAAAACAATCTTATCTTGCGGATTGGACAAAACATCTGATATATTCAAATGAATACAACCTAGACCTGCCACTAGGATGTCTGATGTCATCAGCAATAATCAAACAGCCATAATGCTGAGAAAAAGACAAAAAATCCCTCACTGCACTGCAGTTGACTGGAAAACTTCTCAGATACTGAAACCAGTTTTTGTTTATTGTTTGTAATGTTCTTCTTCGTCTCCCTTCATTACATTATATTTGCTTGTATTTGTTGCTATATTTAGTCTTAACATATCACTTTTTGATATATTATTAATTTGTAATTTACTTGTAATTTAATAAAATGCACAAATACATTTGATATTTAATGTCAGTAAACTCATTAATTAACAAGGAAAAATCTATAAATCAAGAATCATTTTAGAATCGGATCACGATTTCCAGAATCATGATCGGATCGAGAGGTGCTTAAAGATTCCCACAACGAGCAAAATATACATTCAAAAATGCCTTTAAATACAGCGGGGTCCAAAACGTTTGGAAGCACATTGAAAAACTTTTTTAAATTAAAAACCTAGAAACTTTTCAAATAAGTCACAAACCAAATTTGTGGCGTTCATCATATGACTCCTTCCTTTGTAGACAGTTGTTCTTTGGATGCTCTTTTTGGGTTTGTTCATGAGTGATTTTAGCTTTTTTCTTTACAAATTTGGATAAAAGTGTAATGTAAAATGTAAACTCACTCAAAGTCTTATGTTCATTATAGAATTTATAATACTTTTAAAATAAAATTATAAAAATGCAAATAGGAGCAGTTTTACTATAGTGGCTCTACTGTATTGTATATGTATAATTTGAATGTAAAAAGCATTGACTGAAATGCACTGACCTGCATCTCGCCGATCTCGTTGTTGTGGCGGTCCTCCATCTCACCCAGCTGTCTCTCTAAGGACTCATTATGGGCTTTCAGGGACTCGATCTCCAGGGTGCGGGACTGCAGCTGTCGACGGTACTCGGACAGCTCATCTTTGGTCTGCTTCAGAGCATCGTTGTTGCGCGCCGCCGCCTCCGTCACGGTGACAAACTTGGAGCGGTACCATTCCTCTGCCTGCTGCTGGTTCCGGGAAGACAGAGTCTCGTACTGGGCACGGATGTCCTTCAGGGCCACGGCAAGGTCAGGCTTACTGACGTCCATCTCGACAGACACCTGAGCATGGAAAATACTTGTTAATAAGTTTAATACAACTATAATCTAATATTAACCCATTTGAAAAGTTAAAAAAGATTGATATTTAAATAAATCGTGTTCTTCTGAACTTTCGATTCATCACAGCATCCTGAGCAAAAGTCAGGTTTCCACATTAAACAGCACAACTGTTTTTAACACAGTTAATAATAGGAAATCTTTCTTGAGCAGCAAATCAGCATATCAGAATGCTTTCTGAAGGATCATGTGACACTGAAGACTGGAGTAATGATGCTGAAAATTCAGCTTTGCCATCACAGGATTACATTTTTAAATGTATTATAATTGAAAACTATTTTAAATTGTAATGATATTTCACATTACTCATTTTGCTGTTGGTAAGCATAAACTTTTGAATAGTAGTTAATGATAGCCATAAATAGCCTTTAGTCTGTCAAATTGATTGGTGGAGGAAGTGTAATTTAGTTGCTGATTCATAATTGATTTCTAATGAATAATTAATACCCCGAAACAGGCATTTATGTTTGAGCCAAAAGGAGAGTATAAATTATAGCTATACATATAGATAATTTGCCATATATTTGTTGGCACAAATGAGACATTCTGTCCATAATAGAAAGTTGCTTAAATTTGTCAGAGAATATACTGATAAATAAACAGTTTTACAGTGAATGTAAACAATAAACCACTGTCCATCAGTTAGTGAAGTTATCAAAAATGCAGTAGAGCTGATATATGCAATGCTAATATTGGCCAATGCATGTTTAATCAGTCTTTGAGTGTAATTTGTGGTAATGAAGTTTTGGGCCCTTGAGGCTGCGGGATGGAGCACAGACTCAGGGGTTTTAATGCTCAAGGAAAGATGACACTGCCTGAACGCTTTCATAAGGATGCGATTCATCCAATGCATCATCAACACACAGAGAACAGCAACCCGTGCATGATGAGCATCAGCTTACAGCAGTCACAGTGTAATTGTTACATTCAGGGTTATTAAATAAAAGACTGCGGGAAATGTAATCTTCCGTAGAGTAGAAATGCATGACTCTGAGAGCGAGGCTAAAGTGATGCAGTCCCTCTCAAGGACGCTGCGCCGCAGGGGTCCCGCTGCACCCACTCTGCAGCCAGCCACACCTAAAATCCTGCGCTACTCATCTCCTCGTTGCCAGGAGGTTAGGAAGTTTAAAAAACCTTCTCTCAACCTTCAAATAGATTTCTCCCTCTCCAGGGCTTCTCCTTGTCTTTGTCTGGGTAAATATTCTGTTTGTAGATGTTAAAGTTGCACGAGAGAAGGGATTGGCATTATAAATGCACATTTTGACTGAGGTCCTGGTGCAGTGCAGCGTCAGATTCTCAGTCTGAGCTGCAGTGCTGTAAATTCTCCCAGACACACACCGCACTCAATGACACTGCACAGTCATGATACGCATGCCCACACTATGAGTTATTAATAAACATAGTATTTCAAAGCATTAATGGATAGATGGTATTTATAGGCTTTATCTGCTTAATCTGATCTTCTCAATGTAGTTTCTATCTTATAAAGATATTTCTACATGATAAGACCTTTAAAATGACTTTAATTGATGTAAAGCTATGTAGTCAGGTTGATTCACTCATGTTAAATTGGTTGTAAGCTAATCAAATATAATTATTTTAAATATTGAAGGACATGTTTGCTTCCTGACTAAGCATTTTAGGGTATATATTATGTAGCAATTTTCAAACCCAAAGCATATGGGAAATTTGGCTTAACCACAACTTGTTTTATTTGACTGGAAGTTAATAAAAATGTCATTCCCAAATAGATCTGCATCATTATACCACTGCATAAATCACACAGTCATAAATTACACTGCAAAACTCTGATATGAGATATTAATGAACATTTCTGGGAACAGAATGTGTATGCTTTTTATAATTGTATCTCACCAAATAAGGTATTACACTGTAAATTGTACATTTTACACTAGCAGTTATTATGCAAATCATATTTTAGAATAATTGACAGAATATTTAATGTGGTGATTTCAATACTATCTAAGCATATATGCAATATTTGGCTTAACTGATTAGTTATATCTTTCTGGAATTAAAACATACACATTTGCAACTATTGCATGTTATGTATTTGCAATGTAATGCTCATTAGCCACCAAAAAACAACTAATCCCAGGCTGGTCTCCAGCATGGCCAAGCTGATCTTAGCTGTTTAAAGATGATCTCCCAGCCTGGTAATGCAGGTTTTAGTTGGCATCACAGCCTGACAGCTAAAAAGTGTCCAAACCCCTCTAAAACCAGCAAACAGATCAAAATAAATATCATTCGAAATTTTTTCATACCTGGGTGGCCTGAATTGACGCCTGTAACTCCTGCAGTTCCTCCTCGTGCACTTTCCTGAGGAACGCGATCTCATCCAGCAGGGACTCAACTTTCTTCTCCAGCTCCAGGCGGGACAGCGTGGCGTCATCCACGTCCTTGCGGTATCCCTTCAGGCTGTTCTCGGCCTCCTCCCGCAGCCGGGTCTCCTCGTCCAGCTTCTCCTTGACGCGCTCGAGCGCCTCGTTCATCTGCACGCAATCCAGGTGCATCTGGCTCTTCTCGTGTGTCATCTCCTCGACACGGCCGCGCAGCTCGCGGATCTCCTGCTCGTAGAGGTCGTGCAGGCGCGACGGCTCGTTGTGGCGCTGGCGCAGAAGCGCGACCTCCGCCTCCAGAACTTTGTTGTGCTGCTCGAGGTTGTGCACCTTCTCGATGAACGTCACGAAGCGGTCGTTCAGGCCCTGCAGCTGCTCCTTCTCGTTGGTGCGGATGATCTTCAGCTCGTTGGTGACGGCGGTGGTCTGCGTCAGGTCTACGGTATCCGTCTGGTAGCCAACGCCGCGGCCGGATCCGAGTTTGGTCCGGTAACTTGAGGATGTGATCATGGGGGATGGAGAGCCGTAGGTGCGGTGGTGCTGCTGCTGGGGAGCGGAGCGGTAGCTCACCCGGGACGGGCTGCTGCCCACGGGGACGCGCCGTGGCGCATCTCCAAAAATCTTCCTGTATGAGCTGCTCGTGTACATGTCGCCGGAATAACTCATGCTGAAATGCTCAAGATCACAGACCGAGTGAGTGAAGTGTGTGGATGTGGGAAGACAGAAAGAGAGAAGGAGAGTGCCGGTCGGGTTGTCACACCGGCATCTTTTATAGGCACAGACCGCGAGCATCATCTGACGCAGGGGCGGTGGTGGAGGGGGAAACCTGCAACCCTGAGCAAAAAGACAGAGTCCCAGGAGAGAGCTCATTCATTCCATGCCTTTGCATTTGTGGCCACTCATCCCTTTTCACGCGATGGAGATTGTCATCATGCAGAGAACTGAGGATAAATAAAGGTCAAAAGATGTAAAAATAAAAACTACATATGGGGTTCCTCGGATGACCTCTGGAGAATCACTGGACACCTTTTAAAAAGCCAAAACTGAGCCTTAAAGTTCCTGCAATAAAGGCAGTCCGTTGTTCATAAATGAAGCTTTCAAAGCACTTGAAATATATTGAAGTTTGAGGCACTAAGTAAGAGTTTAAATAAGAGTTTATTTTGCTGTGTAGCTGAAATTGTTACTTTATTATATGTCATAATAAGGATCTTTATCATATTCTTTGTTAAATTCAGTACAAAAGTAATGCGGAAACCTTAAGGACAAATGTGGTGCAGTCAAACTGATTGATTTTGTGAGTGTTTTGCATACCACCTTATCATTCATGTGTTGCTGCATGTCTGCATATATATATATATATATAATAAATAAAGAAAATTAAGTAGGCTACATTTTAGGGCCATTAAAAATAATTATTGAAAACTTAATATGGCAATGCAAAAATAAATAAATCAAGAAATAACTGTATTTCATGTCATGTGTGTAAGCAGAGGTGCTGCATGTGTGCATGGGATTGAAGCATGTTGCAGTGAGAGGGAGTGTCTGACTGTGTCTGTGTGTGTGTGTGTGTGTGTGTGTTGTAATGCGGGTGGCAGCCTGTGCCTCTGCAGTGTCTGAATACTGAATGAGACACGGAGGTCTTACCCCGATGACCCTCCTCGATGCAGAATCCTGTGCAGACTCAAAATCAGCTGGCAGTTTTCATTCATCTCAAACATATAGTGCATCTAAAATAGGTTAATAAAATGCACAGGAGTGCTGTTAAAGTCAGTATTCTTTAGGAAGCTGCACCCCATCACACTTTTTTTCTGATGAGTCATCAGTATTGGCTGTCGGGGAGCGGTGTGTGTGTGTGTGTGTGGTGGGGGGGATGGGGGGCTGTGTTTCGAGTGCAGGACTGTCGCACCACACAGACTTGGGTTGAGGCCAAAGGCATCGGCCACACCTCAGGACGGGTTTAGCGTGATCACACCAGCAAACCCCTGGAGACCTGCTGCAGGTCTCGCTGTCTTCACTCAGCACTTTCTGAGGCTGATGTTTCAATTCTACAAGTAGAGAGAGAGAAAGAGACACGAAAAAGACCTGAGAATGAGCATTTTCTCTGTTTAAGGATGACAGGCTCTAGACCACTGCAGTGAATCAGAAATTGGCCCAAAGTGAAACGTACTAACCCACACACACATGCACGCACGCACACACACAGATATAGGTCTGTTTTCGATACATCGTTACGACGATACATCATCACATACTTGATACGAGTAGGCCTATCTACAGCTGCTTCTGTATTAATTCCGCAGCAGGTCCACAGAAGTGGACCACGCTTAATTTGAATACAAGAACAGTATACTATTTAAAACGGAGTGGAAATGTGCTGAAATTAATGAATATATGGTAACATGGGGGAAGATGCCCCCCTTAAAGGTACAAAATGTAAGATTTTTTGTAATAAAATATCCAAAAATCACTTGCACAGTGTGATATATTTCTTGCAGTTGTGTAGGCTACTTACAATATCCCCAAATTTCCCAAAGAATTTTAATTTCAGAGATATTCCAATTTTAAATAATGGCTAGTCCCTGGTCATTGTCGCCTGTCAACGACGTAATATCCGCGATATCCCTGGTTTCCTCTTGTACTGCCAAAGTAACCATGGCAACAGACGTGGACAACTGCGTTACGTCTAGCGGCACGCTCACGCTGTTGTTGTTTCGTTCAAATATTATGGATCATGGCAAGCAGACTTTGGGACAAAAGGAGAAATAAATCATCAAGGATCAATATCGCCGTGGCGTTTTCGAGATGCCGAGAGCTCCACGTCCGTGACTAACTTGTAGGCCGCTCTTGCATGTAGGCTACTTTATTAGACAGGAGAACAAATGTACATAAAACAAATCAATGTTATATAGCTCAACATGATGAAATGTTAGAATATGATCAGTATGTTATTCTAATGTTGATCTAGCTTACTTCTTGTCTCATATAGCCAACAAACTAACACATAATAACATTATAACTTTCAACACACTCAAATGCAGTTTAGTATGGTAGTGTAGTAGACCAAGTGAAACAGCGTTACCTCAAAAGTTTCCATTTCATCTTAATATCAACATTTGTGAGATATATTTTTGAGTTTAATTGATCTATTTTGTGTCTCTGGAAAATAGTTAGGCTATCTATGACATAGCTTATTATGTTGACTATCAAAGTGCGATATAAAGTGCGACCACGGCGATATTGATCCTTGATGATTCATTGATCCTTGATGATATATTTCTCCTTTTGTCCCAAAGTCTGCTTGCCATGATCCATAATATTTGAACGAAACAACAACAGCGTGAGCGTGCCGCTAGACGTAACGCAGTTGTCCCCGTCTGTCGCCATGATTGCTGTGGCAGTACAAGAGGAATCTAGTCGCATTTGAACCACGAATACCCTTTTTCCCCCCCCAATGGATTCAAGGAGTTTTGTGGTTGAAATGTGAAAATATAACAACTAACAAATCCTTCCCTCGCGGGTCAATTTGACCCTCTAGGAATGAATGGAATGCGAGGAATGCGTCAGTACACATAGAAAAACCTAAAATGCTAAAACTTTACCAAAAAATGATTTTATAGCGTCTGACTACATGTGTATCTTATGGAATGTGTAATAATGAGAAACTTTCTCGTAATGACTTAACATCTCATAATAATGATAAACTTTATCTTAATAATGACTTTTAACTCATAATAATGAGAAACTTTCTCGTAATAATGACTTATTTTCTCGCACTTCTACGCATGCGCAAAGCAGTGGAGCGAAGGGAGTGCCACGCTAGCGACATCCGCTGGTCAAAGCCGTGTAAATGCATCACAGCAAACATGGCACGCTCTGCAAAACAGTTAAAAGTCAGTGTGATCTACGAAATGCAGTCTGTAGTATCATTAATAACATCAATTAAAAATCATCTGTATATCTTCCATACTTTTCCATGCGCACGAAAAGGTGTGAAAGTGGAATGCAAAAGAAGGACGGTTACCATGGTAATGAAGGACGCGATTCAAGTTGGAATATTACATTTATTCTTTAAGTGTAACATCTTCATACAATATATGGGTAATATAACACGTATTTTGCGGTGGATGCGTCTAGGATATTTGATGTGCAGGTTCATCTGGAAGATATCAATACAGAAATCACCTTTAACCTTTTGATGCACAAGCTATGCAAACCTCTTCTAATGCACAACATGGGTCTAAAAAGGCATTTTTTTTGTTTCATCTTTTGAACTCACTTTATTTCAGCATTTAATATTCCATGATTATGAATTCCATGATTTATGAATATTCAAAATATCTTGTTTTCAATGATCACAAATTCATATTAAAATATTTCCTAGGTTTTGTGTTAATCCAGTTTACACACATGGGTCAAAAATGACCCATCTATGCAAGCGTGATAAAACAAAAGAATAAAGAAAACTTTTTGTTAAAATAACCAATTTCCCAGTTATTTAGATCAACACATTAACTGTAACACTTGAAATATGTTTATTGGCCACTTTGTCACACATATAACCGATAACACTGAAATTGAACTGTAGTGTAGTGCAACTAGTAAATTGTGGTGAAAGTGACTGAATAAAAAAAAAAACGGACAAAATAAAATCACACGGGAACAGCGCCATCTTAAATTGCCATCTCAGTGCTTACATGTCTCACAAATGACAACTACACGTTTGCGCTCCTTGAGCTCCACTCTTCGATTGCCCTCCTGCTGGTGTCCTCCTATGGCCGGGTGGTGGCTGCGTTTTTTTATTGATTTTTTTTTAATTGTTACATTTATATAGCACTTTTATCTGAACTCAACGTGCTTTACATGGAAGGGGGGAATCTCCTCAACCACCACCAATGTGCAGCATCCACCTGGATGATGCGACAGCAGCCATAGTGCACCAGAACGCCCTCCACACACCGGCTTATTGGTGGAGAGGAGACAGAATGATGAAGCCAATCAGTGTATATGGGGATGATTAGGAAGCCATGATCCCAGGAAGCTCTTTCATACAATTAACAGTCTACTCAAAGCAGATGGTGTCAATCTTTTGACTCCATCTGACTGGCTGTGTAATGAGTTTCTCAAATCTTTCAATGAAAAAAAATCAACAATATTCGCACAAATATTCATACCTTGCAGTCTGCTGATCTTACAGTTAATACTCCTAGTTTCTCTGGCACTCCTTTATCCAAATTCACTACAACCTGAGATGCTCTGCAACCCGGTTTCTAGTATGAAAGCTACCACTTGCATACTTGATCCCATGCCCGGTAGCCTGTATAAATCCTGCTTTGGTCCTTTATGTCCCTCAGTTCTTGCAATAATAAATGACTCTTTATCATCCGGGGAGGTGCCAGCAGCACTTAAAACTGCTGCGGTTACTCCCGTTTTAAAAAAGTAAAATTCTGAGGTGAAAAATCTGTCAAATTTTCGCCCAATCTCAAATCTCTCATTTCTGTCAAAAATCTTGGAGGGTGTGGTTGCAACACAACTAAACAAGCACTTAATTGAAAATAAACTATTTGAGCCTCATTAATCAGGATTTCGAAAATTACACAGCACCGAGACTGCATTGGTGAAAGTTGCTAATGACTTACTAATTGCCTCTGACTCCGGCTCCACGTCTATTCTCATTCTCTGGGATCTCAGTTCAGCCTTCGACACTATTGACCATGCCCTATTACTCAATCGCCTCGACCATGTTTTTGGTTTATCAGAGACTGTTCTTGACTGGTTCAAGTCCTATTTCACTGACCGCAGTCAATTTGTTTTTATGGGTGGTTATAGGTCCAAAGTTGGTTCTGTTCATATGGGTGTTCCACAAGGATCAGTCTTGGGTCCTCTACTCTTTAGTATGTACATCTATCCACTTGGTCA